GGCAATGCATTAGTTAGGACCCCCTCATCAGTTTACTTGCAAAGAATCCATACAACCATATTTGCCCGGACACTGCCTTTAACGAAGTCATGGACTTTTTCCCATAACAAAGTCGCGAGATCTAGGCAGTCAGGATTTGCATTGTATAAGGTTTTTGATTCTTCTATACCGCAAACAGTTTTTCTGAGGTTAACTTGAAGCTTCATTCATTTACACACTATGGTGTAGTGCATAAGAGGGCATTCCAACGATAACGGTGATTCCTGTCATCAAACAGTGCAAATTTTGGTGGCAATAAATGTTCAAAATTTCTTTTGGAGAAGCGCACAGCAGATAACGAAGGCAGATTTGGAATGAGCGCTTCGAGATGCATTCGATGGTGTAGGTTTCATTCTTTGAGGCCATGGTCACCAAGTATCCTTCCCTTGTTAGGCGCAAGTTGTGCAGAGACGCTACTTACTGTTAGAAAACATCGTCGCAATGAACGATTGACGTAAATAAAAAAAGGTAAATGATTTTGCCATCTGCAATGTTCCTGCATTAACTCCAAGCCCTTCCTTTGGAATGACTTTGGGCACGATCATGGAACAACGATATTGATAAATTATCCGCAAGAATAACGCGTGTGAAAATGTTTCACCCAGATTACAGTAGTTGCATAAAGGAAGTCAAAATGTGAGGCTTACCATCTTTTCTTAACTAACCTATTCTGGCGCAAAGGCTTTGGCGCAATTCTGTAAAAACCCTCTTGCCTGAGAACTTTTTGGCTAGGCAGGCGTAAGCTACCGAAAGTTGGCAGATTGCCAGCAGCTTTCAGCCAAAGGAACTGGTGCGCGCTTATCTATTTAAACTTACTAATTATTTTAACTAATGTTTTTCTGGTAAGCGGTGAAGTGACTAAAAAATGGCTAGATATCGGACAGATTGGTTACGGCGCTAAAGGACAAAGCACCTTATTTAAATGTCGCATTCAAAAATTGTTAGCAGCGTTCAAATGCATATACATGCCTGAAGAAAACGAAACCTGAGAAGAAAGCCGATGGAGTACTTGCTTTTTTATTCGTTCATACTTGTGTTGAGATGTGTGAAAACGAGAAAATGTTTAATGGCGGTATGTCCTAATACTCCAAGTTTTTGCATGATTTGGAAAATAATGCATGGCAGCGCATCTAGAATGAACTACTTCAAGAAACCTAAATTTTTCGGAGGGTTCGATGTTCTTTATTGCTGTTTTGCGATATTGAGTGCTTGCGCCTTTACACATTTTACATTTTGTTTCAAGATCCGCTGTGAACATAGTTGGAAAGTTCTAATCTTGTCTATCAGTTTAAAAGCTTTATTTGCCAGTATGTTTCCTTTTCACGCACAGTTTTCAGTGGCGAAATGTTTTTTGTTTAGAAGCAGAAAGAGAGACGAATCAAACTTGTCGTATGTTATGATAATCGACTCAACATTTCCTTGAATATAGCTTGTTGTCTATTCATCCTTCTCGTGGTTGTTGTATGCTAATTCGCATTTTTATCAGGCTAGTCCACCATCAAAGATTTGCTGCTGCGATGATTGCAATATTTTTGCTTTCCGCTTTGCCAGCTGTAGTCACCAAACAAGATCATATGAAACTCCAACTTGTACAAGTGGTAAGACTCAGCCCTGAATATACGTTATATCATTCTGTTTTTTCGGAAATGTGCAGGTATGGCGGCACGGGGACAGATCACCTACTCACACTTACAAAAAAGATCTAATAAGAGAAGTTAATTGGACTTTTGGAGGAGGAGGATGGGGGCAGCTTTCGACGGTGCCGAAGTGTTTTATTCACTATCAACTTTTCTTAAATCTTTACTATTTAGATAGGAATGAGGCAGCATTTCGAATTCGGAAAACAGTTGCGCAAGCGATATATTGTCGAAAATGAATTTCTCAGCAAAACATATAATTCAAAAGAGGTAATGTCCTTAAAGAAACTGACCTTAAAATCCCTCTAAAAAGTCAATAAAACTCGCTATTGAAGACGGTCCAGTTAAAGGTGATGATGCTTATGTTTTCCAGATCTATGTCCGCTCGTCAGATTATAACAGAACTATAATTTCCGCCATGTCAAATTTGATGGGAATGTACAGCTACAACAATAATGCGAGCATAGAAGGCACTGACTATCCAAAAAACTTGACAGGATGGCCTCAAGGATTTATTCCAATTCCAGTGCATACCGTTGACCACAACACGGACTTTGTAACTCCTTCAAACTGTTTTTCAGCATAAAAACAGTTTAACCTAAGATTTGTTTTAGGTGGCAGTTGCTCATGCTGCTTGCAAGCGCAAGGATTGGTTGATTCAATTGATAAAAAAACGGAGCAAAGGATACAAATCTTTGTTAAAAAAACAGTGGGTAAGTATTTATTGAACGTTGTTTTTTGGCGGCCACTATTTGTGAGTGTCAATCAGAGTTGTCGCGAGCGCCAAGTTTTGCCAGTAAAACGTTCGTCTCTCCTTCCCTGTGTACTATTCGTTGCGGGAGAAAAGGAGGAGGG